GAGGTTTTCAGGAGTTGAAAGATTCGCCAGCAGAGCCGATTGAATTGCGTGAGCCTGAGCGTGGAGTGTTCCAGTGCCTGCAATTATCTTCTTCTGCTGTTATTGATTTAGAGCCCAATCAACCAAGTGCAAATTCATTGCAGAGTGGAAGCCGCAGTGTGATTGACCTTGACTGATTGTTGAAACAATGGCTGATTTAGATGATGATGATCTTGGTGGTGAGGGACCGACAGGGCCTCCAGCCTCAGGGAGTGGAGGACCATCAGTTGGACCGCAGCTTCCTCAGATGAGCACGAATCCGTTTTCGCCATCGGCAGGTGGTTCAGTGCCAAATCAGGTAGTACTTGATGTTGCTCAGTTTCAGCAGATCCTGCAGACAATGCAAGGCCAAAGTCAGGCTGTTCTTGCAGCGGCAGGTGTAGCGAGTGCAGCGTCCCCGAGCAGGAGTTCAGGGACACAGGGCTTTAGTGATGCAAACCGCATCTTGAATAGGCCCGCATGCTTTGGAAGCACTTCGCATGACAGTGACTTGGGGTCGTGGCTTGATTGGGCACATGCCTTTAAGGCTTGGCTTATCTTCGCCGACCCTCAGTATGAGATTGAGCTTCAGACAGTCGAGTCAAATCTTGATGTAGAGAACCCCACCATGCCAGCTGAAACTGCAGAGCGGTCGCGCCGCTTGTATGCGATACTTAGCAGTCTGCTGCAGCACAAGCCGAAGATGTTGTTGCGACAAGTGCCGAACCGCAACGGCTATGAGACTTGGCGGCAGCTGGTCAACATCTACGCACCGCGATCGAAAGTGCGAGGACTTGCACTGCTGAATGCCATCATGTCATTTCCCCCGTTTGTGAAAAGCAAAACGACCAGGGAGCAGGTTGACGGTTTGGATCGCCTTGCCCAGGAGTATGAAAGGGTCTCAGGAGTGGCTGTGAATCCAGATATTCTCCTCGGGACTTTACTTCGGGTTTTGCCGGCGCACTTGAGAAACCACATTCAGCTTCAGATGAAAAGTGACACCAGCTATGAGCAGGTCAAGCAGTTCATTCTGACATATGAAGTGACGACCAGCAATTGGTCGGCGTCCAAAGTGCAGCAAAGCTTAGGAATAGGCCCCTCGGGTGACCATAGTGCCAGTGATCCCGTACCCATGGATGTAGATAGGGTCGCTAAGGGGAAACCTAAAGGCGGCAAGGGCGATGGTCGTGGAAAGGGTGGAAAAGACAAAGGTGGAAAGGGCGGCAAGCCCAATGGCGGGAAACCGAATCCCGGTGGCGGTGGAGGCAAGTCTCAGAATGCCAACCAGCCGAAAGGCGGCAAAGGAAAGGGAGGCAAAGCACAAAAGGAGACGCGAAAGTGCCATCACTGCCATAAGGTTGGACATCTTGCCAAGGATTGTTGGCTGCTGCATGGCAAAGGCAAAGGCAAAGGCGTGCATCAGGTTGCAGAGGTAAACCCTTCAAGTGCAGCGAGCGAGGCACCCACCATCACGACATCAGGTGGAGCGGCCAGCACGAGTGGAACAGTGCGGCGAGTTCAGGTGTTTGACTTGAGTGCGCCCGCTGACTGGTTCATTGGAGGGCATGTTCGTGCTGTCACATGTGCCATGCAGTCAGCTCGGAATCCCAAGGCAGTTCAGAGCCCAGCAGGTCCCAGTGGCCAGGTTGCGATCGGCCAGGCGTGCAGCAGCGACATTTTGTCACCAGAATTTCTTGAGATTGTCCGAATGCTGGAAGGTTCATGTTTGAACAGTGCAGAGCCAGTGCGCGTTCTTGAGAGTAGCGATGCAGTCAGCTCGGAATCCCGAGGCAGTTCAGTCCCAGCAGGTCCATTTTATTTTGATCAGAGCACAGTGCCACAGGTGTCCCAGGCTGCGCCAGCAGCAGATCAGAGCACAGTGCCACAGGTGTCCCAATTTGACATTTCGGCCGATGATGATTCAGGATCGTGGGAGCACGGAGTTTCTGTGCATGAGCTCAGCACTCTCAAGCGCTTGGAGCCCAACAAAGGCTTTGTGTATGCTGTTCAGACAATCCAAGAGTTGCCCTCAGCTGACGATGCCCTGGATGTGATTTTGGATTCAGGTGCAGACATGAGTTGCTTGCCTCTTGAGTATGCACAACATGGTTTCGACCACGGTCCTCACAATTTGCAACTGCGTGATGCGCAAGGCGAGCCGCTTGCTGTGAACGACCTTCGTGAAGTTGAGTTTGTCGTTGAGAGCAGCACAGGGGAACATGTGGTGTGGCGAGAAGTTTGTGCGATCGCCCCAGTTACTCAGCCTCTCTTGTGCAAGGGCAAGCTCATGAAAGCAGGTTGGTGGCCCGTCAGACAGCCAGACATGGCTCTTGAGCATGACAGCGGTGTGAGGGTTCCGATTTCTTTCAAAGGAAATTCCTTGTGCGTTCGAGCAAGCATTTTCAGGGTTGGCCAAGAATCCTTGAGTCCAGCAGGGCATGTGATGTTTGTCCAAGCATCAGTTTGCAATGAAATGGCCGATGCGAATTTTGGATGGCAAATGTCAGGCACGGGAAACTTGTACTTTCGTGCCAGGAGCACTCACTACATTGATCCGTCGATCATTGCGCCAGTGGGGTGGCCCTGCAGAACCACTTTGGTCAAGCCGTGCACACCTGATCATAATGCCTGGATTTTGCTTGAGCATTGCGTGCACTGGGGTGAGTTGCGAGAGCCTGCGGCCATTTTGCCGCACGGAGAAAGTGATGTAGTATGCATCCTCTCTTCGTCACGTGAAGAGTTGTCCGAGTTTGGAGTGGAACCTCACAGATCAACGCAAGGGCACATTGATTGGTCTGGCCCGCAACCTGGAGACCCAGATGCTGATGAGCTTGCAGATTACGAGCCTTCCGAAGCCGACATGCAGGACACTTCTGCTCCACAGTTGGTGGAGGCGATGCCAGGTGTGCCTCAGGTCCACAGGGATGTGGAGGTGTTGCCAGATGCCGAGGGCGTCACAGGCGAGGCGCCAGTGACAGGAAGCAGCAGTGACATTCTTGTGTTTGAAGGCGTTGAGCTTTCCCTGCAGAGCACATTGAGTGTGATTCGTACGGCATGCAAGTCGGCTGGGATATCAGTTTCAGGGAGCAAGCAGCGTTGCCTTGATCGCTTGAGGGGTTACCTTGACAAGCAGCAATTGGCCCTGAGTGCCGAAGTTGCTCAGACAGTCGGAGATGACAGTACGCGTGAGCCGAAAGGGCAGTCCGTCACCAAGGCCCCAACAGAAGCCGAGAGGCAGTTGCATGAGCTGACCCATTGGCCATTCCGGCCATGGTGCGATCACTGCATGGCCATGCGTGGTGTTGAGGACCGGCATGAATCACTGCCGGGGAGTGCCGACACTGAGGTCCCGATCATTAGCTGTTAGCTTCGATTATGCCTTCACCAGTGTGTCAGGTGCCGAGGGCCAGGGCAATGCAGCTAAGTTGACCGTTCTGGTTGCACATGACACCAGCACCGGCAGTGTGCTAGGGCTTCCTGTTGCAAGCAAGGGGCGCGAGGATCTGAAGTTCAGTGCAATCGAGCTTACAAGGTTCGTGCAAGGCTTAGGCCACAACAGCATTTTCCTTTGCTGTGACAATGAGCCCTCCACGTTGGCTCTTCAAAGTCTTGTGGTCAATGTTCGGACCAAGCTCGGGTTCAAAACCATGATCCGTGATGCGCCGGTGCACTCGCATGCATCAAAAGGCTATGTGGAGAAGGCCATAGACTTGGTGAGAGGTCTCTCCAATGTCTTGCTTGATCAGGTGAGAGTCAAGTACAACTTGAGTGCTGAAACCATCAGTGCAGATCACCCTTTGATGGCATGGAGCTATGTTCACGCAAGTTACATCTTGAACAGGTTCGGAGTGAAAGGCGGAGCAACGGCATTCGAGCGTGCCACTGGTTACCGTTTTGCATCCAAGCTCGCCTGCTTCGGAGAACCGGTTTGGGGTTTTAGGCGTGGAAAATCTAAAGGGGATCGAAAATGGCATAGGGCAGTATTCTTGTCGAAAACTACAACAAACAATATGTATATCTTGATGAATGCCCAGGGCGTCTGGCTGACACGATCCATCAGACGCAATGCCAAGCCTTGGTCGGATGAAGTGAACTTGATTTTGGAAGGAAAGGGTTTCCCTTGGAATTACCAGTTGGGAGTTCTTGGAGCGAAAATTTTCCCACAGCCACGCAATCGTGTTCCAAAGCCGGCCGAGGACGCTGATGAGGTGTTTGAACAGCAGCAGAGTGCGCAAGTTGATGTGTCAGGTGCCAGAGGTGATGAGGCGCAGGCAGTTGCATCAGGAATGCCGAGTGTGGCGGGGATGGCGGGGATGCCTCCGCTTAGCAGCCAGCCACCGAACCCTGCACCATCCTCCAGAGCCACATTGCTTCTTGATCGTCACGACAGAGGGAGTGCGAGTGTCCCAGGCAGTGTGCCAGCGAGTGTGAGACCTCCTCCTCCTGCGCATGCTGCGGTGAATGAGTCACCAATGGAAGTCATGGGGACCGACCCACCGACATCCTCTGATTCATCTTCGTCTTCCTCTCCAGAAGCCTTGCCCACTCAGCCTGTGTTTGATGACAGCACCATGCTTGCTGAGGTGGTAGAAAGTGTTCGAGCAGGTGCCAGCACAGGTCGACAGGCTGAGGCAGAGCCAGATGAGTCCCATGCAGCAAAGTTTCAGCGGATCGCCCGAGTAGGCCGTGAGGACTTCCCAATCAATGATGAAGTTTTGGAGTCCGCCGCAGAATGGGAAGATGCAGCACAGTATGTGCAGCTTGGAGAAGATGCCGATGCAGAGCTTGATCCAAGCCTTACCGCTGAAGAGGCAAAGCTTCTTGAAGATGAAGACCTTCTATGGTTCGAGGAGATCCCAAGCCTCAGTGACGAGGAGTTGTCAGCCTTGGATTACGTGGCAGACACTTTTGAGGTGAAGCGACTTCTTGGAAAACAAGTCTTGGAGGAAGTCGGAGACAGCTTTGATCTCAGTGGTTACAAGGAGCTCTCCACGAAGTTCGTGAGAACGTGGAGGCAAAAGAAACGGCATGGGCGCATGATGTTCTTTCGTAGATCACGCTTGGTTGCAAGGGAATACAAGTGGATGGAGCGTGACCGGGAAGGTTTGTATGCCCCGGCGACGTCGTCGCTCACCACGAAACTTCTGCCATGGCTGTTTTGCGAGATGAACAGGCGTCAGGAAGGTGCAGCCACAGACGATGATCCCATAGGCGTCGTGGCTCTTGACATAAAAGATGCTTTTCTTTGTGTCCCACAGGAGCGTCCCATGCTGGCCAAGATTCCGGGTTTTCCTAAAAGGATGCGGTTCCTCAAGATGCTGCCAGGGCAGAGAGACGGAACGGCCAGGTGGCATTCGTTCATCATGGAATACATCCGCGAGAAGCACCAGTTGTCTGTGTGTGCTGAGTGCCCTTCCTTGTACAAGCTGAAGGATGCGAAAGATCGCTCCAATCCGGGTGTGATCCACGTCGACGACCTCTGCCTTGTTGGGTATGTGAGGTGGATCTTGCAGCAACTGGTTCCCAGTCTTGAAAGCACTTTTGAGCTGTCGTATGAGGTTGCATGCAAGCCCGGGGATTCCTTTAAGTTTCTTAAAAGGGAGCACGTTCTTCTTGAAGATGGTATCTTGATCAAGCCATTGTCTGATCATGCAGTGAACATGTGCAATCTTCTTGAAGTGCCATTGCACAAGAAAGTGCCGACACCGTGCACAAAGGACATCTTGGTGCCCGACACCAGCAAGCTGCTGGACAGTGCGAAGGCTGCGCGCTTTCGCAGCGCAATCGGGATTGCAATGTATGTGTCCCAGGATCGACCCGACGTTGCCTTCACAGTGAGGATTCTGTCTCAGAAGCTCCGAGAGCCGACAATGCAAACTTGGAGTTCGGGTCAGAGGTTGGCATCGTACTTGGCGTGCACCACAGGTTACGCAAGCAAGGTGCATGCCCGAGGTGACAAGCTTAGCATTCTTGAGCCTTCCGATCCTGGTGGAGCGCATGATGGAGTGCTGCTGGAGGTGTTCTGTGATGCAGACTGGAGCGGCAACAAGCAGAATCGCCGCAGCATGAGCAGCAGCTCGTTTTTTTTGAACAGCTGCTGTGTCTATACTTCGTGTAAGAGCCAACGCTGCGTAAGCCTCAGTTCCACTGAAAGCGAATTTTACGCCTTGGTGTCCGCGGCCTGCGACGGCATCTACTTGAAAAGAGTTCTTGAATACCTGCTTGAACTACCGGTAGATCTTTTGATGAGGACTGATAATGCAAGCTGTCGCCAGATATCTTTGAAGCAGGGCGTATCAAAGATCAGGCATCTTGATGGAAGGTTCCTCTGGGTGCAGGAGAAGACCGCGGATGGTACACTGAAAGTTGGCTCAGTCGACGGGCGATGGAACCCGTCAGATCTTGGAACCAAGGTCCCGGCAACTGGGAGTCGCTTGAGAGCATTGCTTTGCATGCATGACTTCGTTGACTGTGCCGGTGATTGCATCCAAGAGGTAGGCCGTGGCGACTATGATCAGTTGGTCGAGTCGTTGCAACACTGCAAGGACACAGCCCGTGTCCGGCGATTGATCAACAAGTCGCTGAAGACCAATGGTTTGAGCAACAGCAATCTTGTTTTGATGATGGTGAGCTTGATTGCAGGTGCAGATGCAAGTGGCACGAGGCGTGATGTGAGTGTTCAGACAGAGCCAGAGGCAAGATGGTTCAGCGTTTGGGTGACCGGTTTGGTCATCCTCGTGTCTCTGTTGAGTGTCATGCTGAGCCTTGAGCGGCTGCGGGCCGATCGCCGCAGGGACGATGCAAGCGCGTATAGGACCACCAGTGCCGAGCCGAGCACGTCTGTGCCAGAGTATGGGCGTTGGAGTGTGATCACCGCAACCCTTTGCGGTGTGCCTTCGCTTGTGTGCTTGATGCAGCTACGCAAGTTGAGATTCTTGCTTGTGACAGAAAGGCATGAGACCGATCGCTTGCAAGGAGTCATCAATGAAATGGACTATGACCGCATGATGTGGGCAGAGCACCATGCACGTGAGGGTGCATCAGCGTCATCATCAGGTGTACCGTTGCAAGTTGCATCCCACAGTGGACGTGTGGGCGATGTGCCAGTGCATACGCCAGAGTTGCATGTTTATTGCACTGCAAGGCGAGGCAAAGCTTACCATGCGAAGCGCGGATGCACATGCTTGAACAACGCTGATGAGATCCTGCGACTTGGCTTAGCAGAGGCCAAGGAACGTGGCTACCAGCCATGTGGGCGATGCTTCGGAGGCAATCGCAAACAGAAATGAACGAATCAGCACTTTCTTGTGATGCTGGCAACCCGCTTGAGATATGCTCATGATGCAGATGCATTGGTCATCTTTGTACATAGTCAGCGGCGTGAGCCTTCGGGAACACTTCGTTGACGGATGATTGTAGATAGACTACTTGAGCTTGAACGGATGTGGGGGCCAGTGTTCTTGAATGCCGCAGCGATGCATTTGTGCATCACGTGCAACACAGCATTTTGCTGTCAATCTTGATTATTCCGAATCAACTTCGATGGCTGTGGAGCAGCCTGAACCCGCAGGGGAGTGTGAGCTTCCTCACGGTAACTAGGCCGTGACAATCTTCAGAGTGCTATCTTGAAGAGAAAGCACATGTGGGGCGCAGCATGCGCATGAGCCCGCATGAATGGCGTCCTCTTGCGTCTGTCAAGAAACATTTCGTCTCAAGCTGACCCTAGCTTGTGGATGGAGTGGTCGCGTAGTGTACAGTTGAGCCTAGCAAGATGGCAACACGCCATAAAACCTTTAGCTACTTAGGTCCGCTACTGCAAAACGTACTCGTACTGTTGTTGATGCAAATACGAGTGCTCAGGTGCAACACGCATTTGGGCGGGGTGATCAAATTTTGTGTTTGTACTCGTACCCTTATTTTGATTGAACAGTTTGGTAGCTTTTGGACATGTAGCTTTGAGTGCATGGAATAACCATGTTACGACCGACGTTTACAGGCTCAGAGTTTGCGTGAAAGAGGATTGTTTTCACCCTCAAAGAGTGGAGTTGCCGCAGGAGTGTAGAACGTCCTTCGTAAATAAATGGTCCTTCCTCGTCTGCCTGTTGCTAGGAGACTTTGTCTGCCCGTCTGGCCCGCCTGCGACAGGAGCGTCAGGATGCAAAGGTGTGGTATTGTCTGCGTGTCTACAAGATGTCTTGATTGTCTTTCGTCCAAAGCAGGTAGAAGCACGCAGAGTCGCTAAGATCCTGAAAGCAGAGCAAAAACGACTTCGCAAGGCATGGTTCTGTCTGCTGCCCCGTCGAATGTAGATGTTTGAACTTGCCCAGGCCAAAACAGTAGCACGGCAGCTTTCTGAATCGCAGTAATTAACCCTTGTCGTTTCTCACACGATGGCGCGAATGTTTTGACGCGCATTGAGCCCGGCACTGAGAGTGATCAGCGGTCAGTGAGCTTCGCTGTCGCCGTGTTGAATTGTTGCCCCAGCAGCGAGTATCTGTTGAGCAGTGACTAAGCTCTGCCAGCTTTTAGTACGTAAGTCAGTGAGTGTGAATGAGTGAGCTTTGCTGCGACGAACGGCTGCCTGCAGCGCGTAAATTCTTCTTCGGTGTCGGGTGAGCAGTGACCAAGCTTCGCTCTTTCTTTTCCAAGGGAATGAATGTTTACGGCTTTGAGCCCGGCGCTGAGAGTGGTCAGCGGTGCGAGCCCTGCCGAAGCAGTGGGTGAGAGAGCTTGGCTGTGACCCGAACTGTTGCGTGGCAGCTAGTAACTTCTTCGTCTTCGGTTGAGCGTGAGCGGTTCAGCAGTGTGCAAGCCTTGTCTGAGGCAGGGCACGAAAGTTTTACGGGCTTTGAGCCCGGCACTAAAAGCGATGACTCTGCGGAGTGGGGTTTGCCATCTGGCAATGAGGTCTGCCATCTGAGCCAGTGAATGTATGAGCATTGCCCAAACTGTTGCCTGAGCAGCTGTAAACTTTCCGGCTAGTCAGTGACGAAGCCTTGCTTTGACGTAATCCCAGCCTTCTTTTTCTGAAGGCCACAAAACGTGGTTGCGTTGCGGTGTAGGGTTTAGGATGAGTAAGTGAGCCTTGCTGTAGTCCATGTGGGCAGCCAAAACTCTTTGTTGACATCTAGCAGGTTTTTCCGAATGCACGAATGTGAGCCCGTCATATCATGCTCATTCGCTTCTGAAATGTTGAGCCTGTTGCAAGGTCGAAGCTGAGCGCCGTAGTCTTTTACGTAGAGCAACGCGCAGCATGGGAAATCTGGATCCGAAACTGTCCGCTTGCAGAAAGCTAGGACAGGCAGACTCTACTGATCCGCCGCAGTTTGATTCGAGATTGTATGCTGCAGGGTGTGAGGATACAGACGAGGGAACCTGAACGAGCCCAGAGGTGGTGGGCAAATGATTTCACCCTTAGGGCAAAGCCGGTGGTATAATACTCAGCTGCCAACTGAGTTTGATTGACTCCGGCATGTCTGGGACCTTCCACCGTTCTAATAGTGTTATACTACCCAAAGGGTGTGTAAGTGGGTTCCCTTGGTTTTTGCAGCAGATGGGGTGGGTTCCCTGTGGGTTCCCTTGTTTTTTGCAGCACTTCAGGTGGGCTACATATGGGTTCCCTTAGTTTTTTGCAGCATTTCGGGTGGGTCTGTGTATGTTCTTCATTGAGCTTTCTTGTAGATTCCCATGGTTTTTGCAGCATGGACGGTGGGTTCCCTGTGGGTTCCCTAGTTTTTGCAGCATTTTTAAGTGGGTTGGTTCCCATGGTTTTTAACAATATCGACGGTGGATTCTCTGTGGGTTCCCTTGTTTTTTGCAACACTTCAGGTGGGCAACATATGGGTTCCCTTGTTTTTTGCAGCATTTCGGGTGGTCTGTGTATGTTCTTCACTTAGCTGTCTTGTAGATTCCCATGGTTTTTGCAGCATGGACGGTGGGTTCCCTGTGGGTTCCCTAGTTTTTGCAGCATTTTTAAGTGGGCTCCCATGGTTTTTCACCGTCGATACGGTGGGTTCTCTGTTTGGTTCCCGGGTTTTTGCAGCATTTGAAGTGGGTTCCCATGGTTTTCCAATAGGCTCTTTTGGCTTTTGCAGCATGTCAGCTGGGTTCCCTGTGGGTTTCCTAGTTTTTTGTAGCATTTTTAATGGGTTCCATGGTTTAACAGCATCGACGGTGGGTTCCCTGTGGGTTCCTTGCTTTTTGCAGCATTGCAAGTGGGTTCCCATGGTTTTCCCAGCATATATTGCGCAAAGGTATGGGCGGGCTCCCTGGCTCTTGCAGTGTGTCAGCTCGGTTCCCTGTGGGGTACATGTGGGTTCCCATGGTTTCTCCAGCTCGCGCATTATGTTTCAGAGAAGAGTGGAACTGAAGAAGATGTTCAGGACAGTGGCTGCAGGTGTGGCCCAGTTCCATCGCACATCTTGCGCTGCATTTGGATTTGCTGCTTTGAAGTAAGGCTGCAAAAAGCACGTCTGCTATCTGCAGTTTGGGTCGAGACCAAAGACGTTAAACAGGCTCACCTCTGATGCACATGAGGCTCGCCGCCCTCCTGTGGTAATGCTCTTGATAAGTTTGCTGCGGCTAAATGCTGGCACGCTGATGCGAGGATTTTGCGGCATCTACTGGCAGATGTTAATCTCAGCTTGTAGCTTCAACTGTTTCGATTGCTTGCTGTACGTGGGCTGTTTTTGCGCTGGGAAGCTCCACTTGCAGGAGCTCTTTTTCGCTACAGAATCGTAGGAAGCCTCGAAGGGCCTCCCCTGTGCGGGAAAGATCTTGTACGAACAAGAACAGAAGCACTTGTCTTGAAACGGCAGCCGATGGCAAGTTTGGCAAATTTTCCAAAAGTATCTCACATTTCACAGCATGTTGGCTTTCTTGGACGTTGATCCAAACAGCATGCGGAAGGATTTTTGTTTTTCCGTGCAGTTTTCCAGCTGAAACGGGTTCCAAAAAGCAGCTCTAGTCCGGGCACCGAAACGGGGCTCCCGATTTTGGCTTTCTTCGTTGGACATACAAGCTCACGCAATTCGGGGCCCCAGATTAGAGCTCAGATTTGGGAGCCATTTCTGGGGCCCAGTTATGCCTTTTTTTCGTCGAGCAGATGCCACATCTGCATGCACAGCTGGCCGTTGTGTGCAACAGTATATAAACCTCGCCAGCTCTGTTTTGCATTTTGCCGGTGTTCCTTCAAGATTCAAAATAACAAGTGGAATGCTCGCAAACATGTGAACCTTGCAAACAGAACTTTCTCACACTGTGCGGGAAAGATCTTGTACGAACAAGAACAGAAGCACTTGTCTTGAAACGGCAGCCGATGGCAAGTTTGGCAAATTTTCCAAAAGTATCTCACATTTCACAGCATGTTGGCTTTCTTGGACGTTGATCCAAACAGCATGCGGAAGGATTTTTGTTTTTCCGTGCAGTTTTCCAGCTGAAACGGGTTCCAAAAAGCAGCTCTAGTCCGGGCACCGAAACGGGGCTCCCGATTTTGGCTTTCTTCGTTGGACATACAAGCTCACGCAATTCGGGGCCCCAGATTAGAGCTCAGATTTGGGAGCCATTTCTGGGGCCCAGTTATGCCTTTTTTTCGTCGAGCAGATGCCACATCTGCATGCACAGCTGGCCGTTGTGTGCAACAGTATATAAACCTCGCCAGCTCTGTTTTGCATTTTGCCGGTGTTCCTTCAAGATTCAAAATAACAAGTGGAATGCTCGCAAACATGTGAACCTTGCAAACAGAACTTTCTCACACTGTGCGGGAAAGATCTTGTACGAACAAGAACAGAAGCACTTGTCTTGAAACGGCAGCCGATGGCAAGTTTGGCAAATTTTCCAAAAGTATCTCACATTTCACAGCATGTTGGCTTTCTTGGACGTTGATCCAAACAGCATGCGGAAGGAATTTTGTTTTTCCGTGCAGTTTTCCAGCTGAAACGGGTTCCAAAAAGCAGCTCTAGTCCGGGCACCGAAACGGGGCTCCCGATTTTGGCTTTCTTCGTTGGACATACAAGCTCACGCAATTCGGGGCCCCAGATTAGAGCTCAGATTTGGGAGCCATTTCTGGGGCCCAGTTATGCCTTTTTTTCGTCGAGCAGATGCCACATCTGCATGCACAGCTGGCCGTTGTGTGCAACAGTATATAAACCTCGCCAGCTCTGTTTTGCATTTTGCCGGTGTTCCTTCAAGATTCAAAATAACAAGTGGAATGCTCGCAAACATGTGAACCTTGCAAACAGAACTTTCTCACACAGAGGAGGCCCTTCCAAGCATCCTAGAGAACAGCTTC